CCATTGAATTTTTCTAAGCTAGTCAAAAATCGTTCCCGGTTTTGACACTAGGATAATATTTTCAGTTCCAGCAACATCCATGCCATCAGAATGCTTATTTAGTTCAACCGGTTTAATAGATACGGAGCTATGGAATAGGCTTGCGCCGAGCTTATTGAAGCAGTTAGTTTTTATTAAAGAAAACAAGTAATCAAGAACATTTCTTTATTAAATTATATTTGAGTAAAAGTATATTTTATAAATCTTAGTAATTCAATGCACTTGTATTCTTTTTTTTTATCAAACAGTTTAATTAATTTTTTACAAACAGCTTGATTAATGACAATATGTTTTCTGCTATATTCTTTTCCATTCTGGAAAAAACACCAATATCCAATCATTGAGCTCCATCAGGGCAGGTGCAAGTAGGTGTAACGTGGTGGGGTGTCATTAAAATTTTTTTTGAGTAAAAAATTAGGTCCTTGTTTATTAAAATTCAACAACTGACCTGCCTAAAATGCATTTGCCGACTCTTTTAAAAGGGTTATTTTTGCCAACTAAATGCACAAAAAATACATTGAGGAAAGTGTGTGTGTGTGTGTGAATAATTCTTAAATTTAAATAATCTTTCCCTGTCGCTGAATGGTTTAGAATTTGTAACTAAGGAGGACTAATTTCATAGCTTGCAACAGTAGCATTTACGGTTATGATATTGCCCTTTTTTTAAGAAATCTTGTAGTATAACCAACTAATTATAAATTTGATTGTTTTGTCTTTCCTTAACTTGATGAGAATCTTTATGAACAAAAACGTTATTAAAAGAGAGTCTACTGTTAACTTTCTATGAGTGATTATAGATAAAAATATATCATGGAAATATCATATTAAATCTATTGAAAATAAAATCTCCAAAAATACTTCAATGCTATATAAAGTTAAACTTTTTTTTAATACGGAGTCTTTGAAAATTATATATTTTTCATTTAGGGAGAGTTGGGGCACAGTGGGTCGGATTTCTTTCATTTTTTTAATTTGAGTGAAAGTTAAAATATATATTTTATCTTTGTCAAGGCTAAAGGATTGAGAAATATGTTCTTCATGATAAGAAATCACTAAAACCTAAATATTTATTATCTAACAGCTCACAGAAAGGTTTAAAGTGAGTTATGTTAAGTGATTCACTTTACCCCAGTACTGGGGTACAGTGAATCAATTAACACATCTGCAATTTAGTGGTAGTTAATGGGGGCGTAGCCAAATAATTTTGAGGATGAGGGTGTAAATACATTGTACACTATACTTTTGGCGCACTTTTAATAATTAAAATTAAATAATTTAAATTTTTTCCGATTGAAATAATAAAGAATAAATTTTATTGATTACAAAACTTATGCAACCATATAAAATCACAAAAAAAAATTTTACCTAATAAAACTTATTTAACCAACAACAAAATAAATTTTTAAAAGTGAACTTTTAATTTTTATAAACATTTTTATAACAGTAAATCAACCAATTCACGGTACCCCGATTCATTGTGCCCCACCATAAAAAATAAGGTTCAAGTTTAATTTCATGGGACATGAGTGTTATTAAAGGAAAAGCAAAATGATTTTAACCATGATCTCCACAACAAACATAAAGATGGTAAGAACATTTACTTTAAGCTAAAACTAGTTAGCTAAAAACATAAATTACCTACCAAAAACGGAGAGTCAAAAATTATGTGATAACACCTATAAATAAAGATGTGGTAAAGATGGGTTATATATGCGAGCATAAACTGATTACATCATCGTGATGAACAAAATCATAATCTTTGAGAAAATGCTTCTGTGCAATTCACTGTGCCAATCGATCCACTGTGCCAATCGAGAAAAAACTAACAGATCTCAAATGAGATCTTTTAGTTTTTTCTTCAGAGCAATAAGATCATCCAGTTTAGTAAGTTCTATATTTTGAGGTATTATTTTGTTGTATAAATAGGGGCCTTTCTCATTGTAAATTTTATTATACGGCAAAGAAAAAGATAACAATTAAAAAAAAAAAAAAACTGGTTAAGTTTTTTAAATATTATGAATCATGATGCCTCATTAAATTATATTCTTTGCTCCTAAAACAGATTCATTACATACTAAACATGCTGGCGCCGAAATAAATTTACCAAAATAGTATTCTTTTGTGAAACATATATATATATATATTTTTTTTATTTTAATTCACCTCCTCAAGGCCGAGAAGACCACTACAGACAAGGAGGCTACTTATTTGTGGTTATAACCCTCTCTCAACTCTATAACTCCGAAACACGAACCTTGACGAGCAAGGCCGCTGCGCGGAGAAACGAGTTAAGCGCGGTACTGCCAGGGACGTGGTGGGGATCGAACTCGGAACCACTCGTTTATGAAGCGAGCTCTCTACCACTACACCACTACCGCATTATATATATATATATATATATATATATATATATATATATATATATATATATATATATATATATATATATATATATATATATATACATATATATAAATATATATATATATATATATATATATATATATATATATATAAATTATAAAAGGTTTACCTGCCGATACCAATGGTAAATTAATTAGCCCCCCAGTTATTTAGTATTACTACGCAAATAAAATTTAAGGTATTAAAATTGCATTTATAAGTTATGTTTTTAAAATTTATAGCATTAATTGAACGTTATTTTTTTTGGAATAAATTTAACTTTCTAAAAAAAAATTTTTTTTCCGAAATAAATTAAACTTTTCGAAATATAATTTCATTTTCGAAATTAATTTAGCTTATCAAATATCTTTTGGTTTTTTTCGAAATTAATTGCACACTTTGAAATTCTTTTTTTTCTTTCGAAGTTAATTTTACTTTTCGAAACTCTTTTTTTTTCTTTCAAAATTAATTTCACTTTTCGAAACTCATTTTTTTCTTTCGAAATTTATTTCACTTTTCGAAATACACTTTTTTTTTTTGAAATTAATTTCACATTTCAAAATTACTTTTTTTTTTCGAAATTTATATGGCTAGTTCAATTATTTTCGAAAGTTTTTTAGATTCCGAAAAAAAAGAAGTATTTCGATAACGTTTTAATCGAAAATTTTCCAAAATTGCAGTTTCGATAATGAACCCTAATATATATATATATATATATATATATATATATATATATATATATATATATACACATTAAATATATATATATATATATATATATATATATTATATACATTAAATAAGTGTTTGGGTTCAAAAAATTGAGTGTTTGGGTTTAAGCAGGCAACAGCAGACAACAAAAAATAACAGCAAAAAAATCAGTATTTTTTATCTTTTGCTAAACTATGAAGGGTAACTATCAACTCAAAAATTTTAAGTGTCTAAAGTTATATTTTCTTCTACTATATTACAAGTATGTGCATATAAATATATAGGTGCTGCTATAGCTAAAAGGCCACTACAGACGAGGAGGCTACTTATTTGTGGTTATATAACCCTCTCTCAACTCTATAACTCCGAAACACGAACCTTGATGAACAAGGCCGCTGCGCGGAGAAACGAGTTGATGAGTTATTTGTGCTTATTACAGAAACAGAAGACAAACTATTTAAAAAGTTCAGTGTTGGAAAGAGAGAATGGAAGCAACAAAGTCCAGGATAAAACTGAATAAGACAAAGGTTTTGAACTGAAAAGTCAAAAATGAGCAATCAGAATATACTAGGAAGGTTATGCAGAGTGTGTAAAAGGGGAGTTTAGGCAAACTCACAATATATAGTTTTTTTTCAAAATCACAGACCAAGTTCACAGACTTATCTCCACATCTATCATTGCCATGAAAAAACAGAGAAGACATGACTCTAAATGATATGTTGAAAAAAACTTAGGCAGAAAATGGGAATAGTAAGTACACCTGATAAAATAAATTTGGTCTCAATATGTAAAAGGTAAAGATGAAGATTATTTGGGTAAAGAGTTTAGTCAGTGTTGAGCTTTTTCAGTAAAAACAATAAATGAACAAAAACATTGATGTAAAATACTGTAACTTACATTGTCCTACACTAATTAAGCTTAACCTAAAGTATACTACAACTTTACTATTTACAAATTAAAGTGAAAATACATAAATTAAACCAGATTAAACCAAGATTAGAATGGTTTTAACATGTAACCATTAGAACCTCCAAGCATATTACTAAATGCTATAAAAATTACATTTTTAAGTGTCAAAAATAATATCAAAATTAATAGAAATTTGTTCTGTAAAAAAAACATTACAAATAAAATTTTGCTTTCATAATAATTTATCAGTAAATAGAGTATGAAGTTTCCAAATATTGGACAGTGGACATCTTTTATAAACTTCTAAAACTTTTTATGCAACTGTTTCTTTAAATTCTTAAAATTTAAAATGAATCCAACTTTTTCTTTAACTGTTTTTTTTTTTATAATATTAATTAATCATTTTAAGTTTAAATGATTACAAGACTAGGGATTAAAAACCACATTGGTTTAAACAAGTTTTTATAATGCCATTTTCTTTTAAATATAACTTTTAAATGTAAAATCTTTTTTAAATCAAAATTTAAATATTTAGATTAAGTTTTCATAAGTTTAAGTACTAAAATTTTAGTATTTTTTATGATAATATAATTTTTTATATTATATAACATTCGCTATTATTGAGCTTTAAAAAAAACTTTTGTATTAAGATGTTGAAATTAGATCAACATCTTAATAATTTCATGTTTATTTATTTAGAACTTTCATGTTTTTATTTATTTAGAATTTCATTTTTATATATTTATTTAGAATTTCATGTTTATTAATTAGAACTCTTATGAATGTCTTTATGAGAACTCTTATGAACAATTTTGTTGGAAGAGTATCTTTTTAGTTTTCAAAACTACTGACCTATTTTTGCTTTATAAAAGATTTTGTCTTTATAAAAGATTTTTGCATCATTAAAGATTTTTCTCAGAATTCAATTAATAACAAACCTCTTTAGTTGGCGGAGAAAAAGATTTCTTCAAATGTGTGTTTTTATTTTTTTTGCTATCAGCTTTAACATATTCATTTAAACAACCATCCTAAAAAAATAAAGTTTCAAAGAAAAAAAAAAGAAAAAACAAGTTTTTAAAAAAATATTTGTTCAACTCACTTTATCAACATCTTTATGAATTGGACTCTTTATAAGATACTGGTGTAACATTTTTTGCAGAGTTTGGCATTCCATTTTATAATAATCTCTATCGTCTTCAATATTATGAACCATAATTGCCACTTTATCAGGAGACTTAGAATAAAATAAAAAATAAAATGTCAAAAACATCATTTGAAAAAACATTTAACAAAGGATCAACATCCAAATCTCAGATGACTAAAAAATTTTATAAATTAAAGTTAAAGATGATTTTCTTTTTGTTATATTGATTTACAAACAAACAACTTAGTTAAATGTGATTAGACTATTTTTTTTCCTGATTACAATGATAACTCTATTTGAAGGTTATAAAATTATCTTTCTTTGCAAAGGATTGTAAAATGCTGCAGCTATATATATATAAATCATTAAAAAAAAAAATTAAAAAAAAAATTTAATGACTTAAAATTTAAATTTCTTGACAAATTATTTTTTTATATTTATTATTCTTTTGTTTTCTTTAATTATATTTTTATGCAAAGTGTCCGTACATCAACAGATGTATAAGTGTCCATACACCCACAGGTGAACAGAAAGTACATACACCAAACCTCGGAATTAGGAAAACTGAGGTCAGCAATAAATTGCCTTGAACACTTTTAGGTCAGCAGTTAGGTCAACATTGCCGAATGCCGACCCTAATTCTAAGGGTTGATACGCCGACAGGTGAAATAGAGAGTACATACACCCACAGGTGAAATAGAGAGTACATAAACCCACAGGTAAAATAGAGAGTACATACACTCACAGGTGAAATAGAGAGTACATGCACCCACAAGTGAAATATAGAATACATACACCGACAGGTGAAATAAAGAGTAAATAAATCAACTAACATGTGTAGTAAACAATGGTGAAAATAGATAATAATAAAAAAAAATAATAAAATAGAAAATAAACACTTTTTTGAGAATCTATGAAAAAGTTCTTTATTCTGATAATTTGTGAAAAAATAATGATATTTAATTTGAAAGTTAGTAGAAATTTAACTACAAATATAGATAGTTATCAAGATAAAACAAATTTTATTTAAAATGATTTTACCATCATAAAAATTCCTAAACATCAACATCCTCTATAAAATGTTAAAGTTGCAATTACGTCTCAATCAGTTACTATTGGTAACAAGGTTACATTCTCTTATTTTTAATTAAATATTAATTAAATAAACTTGATAGCACATTAAATGTTTGCTTACTGCTGACATATTACTTTTTATCTTGTTTGTTTACTGTTAACATATTGCTTTTTATCTTGCTTTATTTTATTTTTATTGTAAAATAGCTTCATCTCAATTGGTTACATTGTTACGAAAAAAATAATAAAGTTTCAATTTGCAATGCTACCTCTAAATTGGTAAATTTTTATAGGAAAATGGTTTACAAAAGTGTAATCAATCGAGTTGTAATGTATTGTAAAAAAAAAACAAGATTTAAGTTTGGTCTCAAATTTTTTTTTAAATTAATTTTTCTTATTTAACCTTACAACTCAATTACCCTTTAAATTTGAGACGATATTATATTGTTATTAATATTGACGTATAGGTTAGGCTATTATATATTATATTGTTATTAATATTGACGTATAGGTTTAGGCTATTATATATTATATTATTATTAATATTGATGTATAGGTTAGGCTATTATATATTATATTGTTATTAATATTGACGTCTCAATTGGTTACTCTTTATATATAAAGAAAAACCAAATGGTTTTAATAACATACCTTGATATGTATGTGTATATATTGGTTACTTTGTTACAAAAAAAGGTTTTAAGATTTTTAGCGTTTTGATACACCCACAAGCAAAAATGTATAAAAAGTGTCAACCTATATCTTTTTTTTTCAATTACCCAGAAACAAGATGTAAAAGTCTTATGCCTTTTTATGTAAATGTTACATCTGGTTATATAAAAATGGCAAGCATTTTGTGTGTTACATAACTTAATTTGATTACGTTACAATAAGTAATGTTACCTAAAAATGTTACAGGGGATGTAAAAGTTGTTTTTAGTTTGTTATTTAGTATATTTTTAAACAAACTATTTAAAAATATGTAAAATTTTGAAAGAAATTTTTATTTTTTAGTTGTTTTAAACTTAACTAAGTAACGTTGCAGATTAAGTGCTAATTTGCCTTTACTGTCATTCATTTAATAAAAAGACTTCTTCTACTGTCATACATTAAAACGTATTTATAAATCATTTATAAATTTGCTTATAAATAATTTTTTTAACAATGAGTGCACAGAACTACATGTAAACCATTTATTGGGTTATTAATAACATTGAATATAAGAAATAATAAGATTATTGCTCATTTGGCATTTTTTACAAACCATATAAAAACAGTCAATACCTTTGACATAAATAACTCAATAACTTTAATACTTTGCATTTACAAACCATATAAAAACAGTCAATACCTTTGACATAAATAACTCAATAACTTTAATACTTTGCATTTACTAAGGAGAAAATAAAAAAATTAAGATTTCTTTTGACTTCAAAATTTTTTTCAATAACCAACAATTAACATGAAGGAAGAAAAAACTATCCGACAATTATTCATGTTCTGAACAAAAAAGTTGTTTAATACAAAAAAACTTATAAAAATGAAAATTGTTTTTATTTAAAATAAAACTAAATTAGATTCTAAAAAAGATTTCTTTATTCGATTAGATGGGTATCAAATGCATTTTATGGATCGTTGTGATAATGATGGCAAGACAACAAGCATCCATTCAAGCATCAATTAAATCAAAAGAAATGATTGTCTAAGTATTAAATTCTGGTTTCATTATTTACTTTTGCCATGGAAACTATAATATCATTGAAATACTAAAAACATAAAATTGTGGAAAATTGTGACATCAGGCTTGGTTGGGAAGCAGGTAGGATCGCACTCGATAACTGACCACAGAAATAATATTTAGTTGCAAAAAACTGGCTAGATTTTTTAGTCGTTTTGAGAACATTGAAGTTTATGTATGTTTCCTTGTTTGTCCGCAAAATAATAAGTTCATTTTGTCATAAATTTTAAAATATTTTGTTTTACTGACTTACATGGAAACGTACATAAACTTAAATGTTCTCAAACATCTTAGTGCGGAAAAATAAAAAAAGAACTTGTGAGTATTCGCAAACACAAAAAACCTGTCAAATCTACAAACAACTAATTCTATTGGTTCAAAAAATACTAACCGAAATTTCTAGAGTATTCAAAAAAAACTAACCGAATGTCCTGAGTATTCTGTTGAAATATTTTTAAAAACTGTATTATTTGAATTTTGTTACGTTTTTGTTAAGATTTCTAGCATAAATTATTTTAAGAGTATACTATCAAACAAACTATTATTTTAATTTTTGGAGCCACATCTGCAAACTATAAATAGTTTAAACTAACATTTGTTACAATAATAAATGTTTTAAATTTATATTTTTTTATATTATCAACGTTTTGTAAATATATTTTAGATTTTATAAGTATATTATTATTTTTTGTATATAAGGGATGTATTTTTTATGTATGGAATGTATTTTTATTTATGTAATGTATTTTTATCTATGTAATTTTATCTATGTGTACTTTATTCAAATGTAATCTTTTAAAGCAATTTGTGCTATTGATTTTGTAAACAAAAATACTTTTAATAATAACTGCGTTTTCAATGAAATTATTAATAATGGTCTAAGTTAATACAAATAATTTTAACCACTAATCCATTTTCCTCAGAGTACCCGATAACTGATTCTTTCTCCCAAGAAAGAAAAGTTTTTAAATTCTTAGAAATTGGTTTACTAACTTCAATTATTTTTGATTCAGCCATTCTTACAAACTCGTTATACTTAAAGTTACGTTTTTCTGTTTTAAATACTAATTAAAATAATGAAGTCCACTCACTAAACATCATCAGCAGTATTGTGAAGCAGTTCCGCTTCCTCCTCACAAAGTAATTTAACGTTTTTTGTTAATTTCTATCTAGCTAATTGAATTTCTACAGTAACTCAATGATTTAACTATTTCATTTGTTCATCTTATTAAGAAGAATCGTTTCAAATCTGTTAAACTTTTTAAACTACGCGAAGCATAAAACAGTTATTGAAAAAACTTATTTATTTATAAATAAATCATCTGGTTGAATCTTGGTTTTTTCAGGACCGGGGGCTGCATTATTTTGGCGGCCATTTTTATGTGCCACAGCGTAAAAATGACTTTAAAAAATACGGAATGATCTTCTTGACTATTTCCCCTAACATTGTGAGTCCCGCGGCTAAAGCCCTACTACCCCCACCCCACCTCCTCAATCCAGCACTGGAAATAAGACATAAGTATATAAATAAAAATTATATATACTCTTTGATAAATCAAAGAACATTTGTTTCTTTATAGTTGTTACTTTATATAAAAAATGTCGCTTTATTTTATAAAAAAAGTTATAAAAGATCCCCACCACGTCTCTGGTAGTACCGCGCTCAACTCGTTTCTCAGCGCAGCGGCCTTGCTCGTCAAGGTTCGTGTTTCGAAGTTATAGAGTTGAGAGAGGGTTATAACCACAAATAAGTAGCCTCCTCGTCTGTAGTGGCCTTCTCAGCCTTGAAGAGGTGAATTAAAATAAAAAAAAAAAAAAGAGCGACGTTTCAAAAATAATTGCTTTTCGCGTTTTTTCGCGTTAAAAGCTATTTTTCTTTTTTTAAATGTCTCTCGTCGGTCCAGTTAATCTTTTTGCGCTTTTTTGTTTGTTTTTGAAATGTTCTCAAAACGACTAAAAAATCTGGCCAGTTTTTCACAACTAAATAATATTTCCATGGTCAATTATCGAGTGCGATCGCACCCACTTCCCGACCAAGCCTGTGACATCAATAAAATTTTTGTCAAATGAACAAAACATCCCTTTGGCATTTATTTCTTCTTGTGCAGTAGTCAAGGCAATAAGATCTAGCAAATCTTGATAAGTTTCTTCTATCAAAAATACAGAAAATAACAAAAAATTTTATTGTAAGATATTTAAATAGATAATTAAAAAACAACCTTCTTCTGATAAATTCCTTTGGTAAGCTTTAATCTTTCCATATCCATCACAAGATCTCTTTCTAAAATAAAAAATAAAAAAAATAATTTTAAAATAAAAAACTTTATTTATAAATAAACATGCTAAAATGTTGTTCCTGGTAATAATATACATAGTTAAAATGATGTTGCAGGTAATAATATAGTACAGTTAAAATGTTGTTGCTGGTAATAATATACATGGTAAAAATGTTGTTGCTAGTAATAATAGAGTAAAAATGTTGATGCTTCGAATAGTACCAGCAAATGTGGAACTATGACTAATCTCCTCGTCATATTTTTTGTGTGGCTATCTATCAAATAAGGATCGATTGATTATTACAGTTTAATTATAAATATTTTTGCAACGTTTTAAAGAGCTCATATATCCTCTTTTTTACTATAAAGAGATTAATTCAAGTTTTGATAAGCATTCTTCATATGCATGCACTTTTAGAAAAAGAGCTAATGAAAAAAACATTCCTGATATACCTGATTAAAATGAAAAAGCTTTTTGAACACAAAGAAACCATTGTGATAAAAGACGACTTAACAGAATAACATTTGAAAAATAATATAAAATAAAACAAATCAGATGGTATAGTTTGTTTGCGATTTATGTTAATTCATATTATGCATGTTATTCTATTGTTATATATTCTATATTGTTATATTATATATTGTTATATACTATTTTTAATTCACATTCTATGAGTTAAATAACAATTTGCTCAATGACAAACAATAAATTATTTTGGATTTTCTTTGCTATATAGAAATATGACAAAAATAAAATATAAAAACACTTTCTTAATTGTTAATATTTTTTATCCAAAAAGAACTCCAAAAATTTTAATACTCAAAAACAAGCCTGGTTTAGAAAGAACAAAACCCTTGTGTACAGTTTAACAATTGATTTCAAACCCACCACAATTTAAAGTCTTTTTAAATTAGTTGTCATATTTATGTTTTAAAAGTATTGATAACCTGCCATAGTTAATTTTGCATTCTTTTCCATCAATCTTTTTTTTTCTTTTTCACATCTTTCAAGCATTATTCCAATATACTCTTTATCAATTTTATACTGTTCAGCAATTACATGTAATTGTTCATTTTCATCTATTAAGCTAGCATGCTCCTGTAAACAATAAAATTATTTTTTATCATAAATTTTTATTATAAATTATTTAATATACAAAATAATAAGTAATAATATATATTATAAAAAATAGTTTATTATTATTACTTTTAAAAGTATTTTGAATAATAATGATTCAATAAATGCTATATAATTGATAACAGTATTAATAGACATAATAATTTACATAAAATGATAAAAATAATATATTTGGTTTTAGGAAACATATAAAACAATTTTAAAAAATTAAATTACTGGAATAAAAAAAATAGATATTTTTACTTTTTTTTAAGTTTTTTCAAGCCCCAATAATAAAAGTAGTAAAAAAAAAACAACAAAAAATAAAAATGTACACATAAGCAGAATAAAATATGTGTGTATTTTTGTTCTCTATTTTTTTGTATACCTTAATTGAACTAAAATCAGTGGTATTAAACATTTCTAGTTCTGCATTACCAACAAGTCTACATTGAATTTCAGCTAGGCTAAAATATTGAAACTATTAAAGCCTCTGATTATTAATAAGTTAAAGTTTCATATATATGTATATATAGCCAGGGCCAGGTTTGTGACTAGGGCTGCTTAAAAATTTATACATCCTAAAGTATATTTTTTAATTCAAAATTCATGTTATATTTTGCATATATAAACACCATTATGATCAACATGATCATCATTATCATCACCATATAAATACTAAAGTTTATATAAAGCTTTTATTCCTACTCTTCAATTTTAAGTCAAGCCTCATTCTATTCCACATTTTTTACTATCTTGAGTGGATGTTTTATTAATCATTTATTTCATCTTTTTTTAAGAACATCTCTTTTAAGAACAAATGTTCTTTTATTATTCCAAGAAGCCAATGTAAAAAGGGTCCATCTGATGTCAAGCTCTGCTATTCTCAGTATACTAAATCTTGTATCTTATCTCAGATATTAGGTTTTAGGATGTTAGGAGACTTTAGGTTAGTCTTCAACAATGTCATTAAAAGTAAGTTTAACATTTAATCTCTAATTCATGGTCTGACCTTTTTACCTCTCTCTGGAAAAATGTAGAGTTATTTGTAAAGAAATCTTACATCTTACTAATTTGACTCTTGAATCTAATGGCCATACTGTTTCTGCCAGTTAAACAGATTAACCCATTGTTAAACATCTGAATCACTCTGGCTTTCCAATGCTAAAGTTAATTCTCAATTAAACACTTCTATCTGAAAATCTTGTTTGCGCTCCAAACAAGATTTCCATCATAGTATTAAAAAAGTGTTTTCCAGAACTCTCTTCAATTTTTTCTAAACTTTTAAAAAGTGCTAAATAAGTGGCTCCAGTTTTTTAAAACTCTAGAAAACACTTTGACCTCTCTAACTATCCTACAATTATTCTTCAGTCTGTAATTAGTTTTTTATATGTAAAGGTTTTGAGATTATTAAATTATTTCTTTCTAACTGCAGTATTAAAAATATTCTTGAAGGCCTACACTCTACAAAATTTTTTTCTAGCCCCAGCTATTAACCCCTGCTAAATCTTATAGTTTTGCTGAGGCTGGGTTTGAATAAAGTCTAATTTTTAGCTGGGGCCTTGGTTAAAAATGCACTATTTTAATTATTTTTTAACAACATTAAAATGTAGGCTAATTGTTGAAGTCGCTTAAGTGTTGTTGACAGAAACTTTTTTTTACCATAAAAGGCTCTTTCAACTACAATATAAGGATGTATATACATATATACTTTATATATATATATATATATATATATATATATATATATATATATATATATATATATATATATATACATTATATAGTATATATATACATATATATATATATACATTATAAAGTATATATATATACATTATAAAGTTGTATATATAGATACATTATATAGTATATATATATACATTATAAAGTTATAATGTTATAAAGCATTTACAGTATACATAGTATAAAAAAAGCTTACAAAAAGTTAATTACCTTTTTAAGCTTATAAACTTTTTTATTTAAATCAGCATTTTTCAACAAGTTCTCGTTTGACTCATTTTGAAGAGTATTTATTTGCCCGTCAACCTCTCTATCACCTTTATATTTTTCTTTTTCAATGTTTTTGTAAACTTTATTTAAAACTACCAATTCTGAACACAGCTCTTCATTTCGTTCTTTCAATGCTTTATTCTCTGCTAAAACATCAGAATACAATTGTTCAGCTTGTTGTTGTTTTTTTTCCATATCCCTGTTTGCTTGCTGCAAATAATCTACCTGGAAAATATTTTTTGACATTTATTAATAAAAAATATATTATTACAACCCACTCTCATCCTATTTATTCTGAAACACAAACTTAAACAAACAAGGTTGCTGTGCAGGGGCGCCACAATAGGATAGACAGGGTAGACAAAGTAGGGAGAGTCTACAATAGGATTGAGAGCCTTGCCAGTTTATTATAATGTTGAAAAATTGTTAAACAGAGTTTTGTTTATGAGCCACAGAGTGTGTCACGACACCACTGAAAAAATATATTTTTATAATATATATATATATATATATATATATATATATATATCAATGAAAAAACCTGGTCTAGATTTTACCTTTGGTTATTTTTCTATCAGGTAGGGTGAAGCTTATTTATGTGTGACTTTTCGTCTTCACAAGTTTAAAACATATGTTAGTTATAAGCAGGGTTGGCAAAAAAACCCAACCCAAAAAAACCCAAAAAAACCCAAAAAAACCCACCTTAAAAAAACCTAATAAAACCCAAAAAAACCCAAAATATATTTGGGTTTTTTTAAAAATGACCTATTTTACAACTGATATCTCTGATTTTAACACTTATAAATGCTTTATTATCAGCAAGTGCAACCTTTATACTGTAATTATTCTTGTAAACACTGTATTTATATACATAATGGTCTTTAGAATATACCCAAAATCGATCAATCTGTTTTTGTAGCAAGTTGGTTATTTATTATTCTTTTAAAACATTTAGCAAGTTATTATAAATGTTATTGAAATATGTATTAAAACATTAAATTAGTTAAATACTTATAAAGGAAATAAAAATCATTCTATTAACTAAATTTCAAGACATTACTAGTTATTTAGTATCTTTATTCTCCTCCCGAATGTCTATATTCCTTTATATTGGTATTTGATCTTTTATTTTTTTATGTTGTTAACAGCAAAAAAAAAATACAAAGCCACAAGCAAAATACTATATATAAAAATTATTAAACTTTATTTACAGTTTAGAAATGGAAAGTTGTCAGGCAAAAAAAAAATACTACAGTTTACTAGATTTGTCCTTAAGTGCATACAACTTTAAAACTTAAAAAAAAATTAAGTTATGTGCAAGCAAGCTTGCAACATGTTTGCTCATTCAACAAGAGAACATGTTGAAAACTTGTATGCATTTCACAAAAACAAGATTTGTTGGTAAAAATGACACTCGTGCTCATCTGTCTTTTGACAGGTTTTGAATATTTTGCATCAGCTACAAGTTTACAACATGTACCACCAACAGGGGTGACTATGAACAGCAGGTTGAAAATTAACATCAGTATCAAGTTGCTAAAAGGTGAAGAAACACACACACAATAGAGCTATATAATGTGTTACTTTGATTCACACACAATAGAGCTATATAATGTGTTACTTAAAAAAAACTAGTTTGCAACATTTATGTTTTCTTACCAACTTTGAATAACTCAATTGTCATGATTTTTACACTGATTTTATTTTAGTCAAAAATATTCTGAACATGTTTTTAATTTAGAGCAATTAATTAACATCATTTTTAGTTGATGGATCCCCTTTTTGCACTATAGGTAAAATGTGCTAGTAGACTAGTAGCAAAACATTTGGCTCACAACCAGAAGGTTGGGGTTCAAATTACCTCTGCTGAAATTCCTGTCTCAATCTATTTCTCCACACAGCGCCTTTGTTTAAAAATTTTAGTTGTTAATGTTATTTGTTAGTAAAAATGGTAATGTTAAGGTATGAGACAAAATATTTTTAAAAAATGAGTTGCTCCCTTGACTAAAATGGTCATTGGAGCAATAGGGAGGTGAATTTATGAAACTAAAAAAAAAAATTATTGTACTCATTCAAATTATAAAAATTTGGTATTTTGATCGATTTTTAAAAAAACCCAAAAAACCCATAAAACCCAAAAAAACCAAATAAAACCCAAAAAAACTCATTTGGGTTGGGTTTTTTTAAAAAACCCTGGGTTTTTTCCAACCCTGGTTATAAGAGTATTAGTAGAAGTTTTTCTTTTCAATATACATTATATTAATATATCTTATAATAATATTTACAAAAAAAAAATATAGTAGCACAGGCAAGACTTAAACAAGATTGTTGTTTTATCACAAAACTCAGTACAATGTGAATATATATCAAATTAAATAAAATTATAAAAACTATACCTAAAGTATAAACCTAATATATAAATATTAGGTACAACTAGAATTGCAAAAAAACATATTTTTTTTTCCTTTAACATTTTTTGGATAAAAAAAAACTTTAAATCTCTGCATGGAAGCCAATATTATTTTTAAGTTATATTTAGTTTAATTTACTGAATGCATAAAGTACATCACAGTAAATTTACCTTTAAACTAAATTAAAACAACCAGTTAAGTTACTATAGTAACTTAACTGGTAACTTACAGTTAAAGTAACTTACAGCTTAACACAGTAACTTACAGTTACTTAACTATTAAATTTACTTAATATACTCAAAGACTCGCAAAAATTAGCCATATAAATGTTTATATTTATATCTTAAATGTCCACATAATATAAGCATCTAACTAAAAATTATTTTAACAAGAAATCTCGAATAGAATATAAAAAACGCGATACTGATTTTTTATACTTTATTTAAAGCAATATCAAGATCAAACATTTTCTATAAATACACAAGTTGTTTTTTGGAATTTTTTTTTTTTAAAGAAATTTATTTAAACAAAAAAATTTTGGTCTAAAATTCTCTTATTCAAAGCCGTAGAACAAGAAAGATCGAAATCCATATTGATGATCAGAAAGTAGGTTATGAGATTCGAGATGAGAGATTAAGTGTTTGTTAATTAAAGATTCAAAAACCTTATGATAGGAAGAAGACTAATGGGACGGTAGTTAGATGAATCGGATCGCTCTCCAGAATTTTTAAAAATAGGGATACCAGATGCTGCTTTCCAGCAGGCTGGAAAACAAGACTCTGATAAGCACTTGTTAAATAGTTTTGAAAGATAGACGAAAGCTCCAGAAAACACTTCTGCAAGACTATAACAGGAATTTTGTCCAGGCCACAAACTGTAGAAAAATCTAAGCAGGAAATCACTTTAGATACAGAAGCTGGAGTGATATGGATGTTAAGCAATGGATCAACCTGTTTGACAGCTTTATCAGGTAGAACGCAACTAGTGGAGTCAAGAGATGATATTGATGAAAAGTTCTTAGCAAACAATTCAGCTTTGTCTTTAGGTGAGGTGACAAAGTCTGAACCATACAAAATAGGTGGAAGTACAGACTTGCCCTTATTATTAATACTATTAAAGATTCTCCAGAAGTCACGAGAGCCTAATTTTTGTGATGAAATACGAGATTTCATGATCTGATAATAACGGGCTTTGGCGTTAGACAAAACCTTTTTACAATGTTTCCAAGTAGTAATAAACAGACATCTGTTTTCTGGAGAATTGTTTTGCTGATAGATATGGAAGTAATGGTTTCGATTAGCAATTGCAGCAGCACAATGTGAGGAAAACCATGGAGAAGAGTGAGGCTTGACCTGGAATCGTTGAGAGGGAATAAAGAATTCCATGCCAGCCTGAATCCACAAAGTTATGTAAGAAGCACATTTGTCAACAGGAAGACGAAAGATAGCAACCCAGGGGCCATCACGAAGAAAATTACGGAAAGAATCCCAGTCAGCTTTAAGGTAGTTGTAAGATGTACAATGATAGGGGGATTCTGATGGTAAAGAAGAATGAGATAATAGTTTTAGAGAGACCAAACCTTGAGGGCGAGTGTGGAGAAACTGAGCACTGACTAGGATTAGAAATAGGACATAAGTTGAGTAGAGAAGGTAAATGATTCGGGTTGTCTGGAAAGCGAGTTGGAAAGTTGACTATTTGAGTTAGGGATTGAGAAAGGCAAAAGTTGTGAGCCTTAATGCCTGCAGAGTCACTGACACTAGAGCCGAGCCATTCAGTGTGATGAACATTAAAGTCACCAACAACAGCTATATTGGCTGATAGATAAAGAATGAGGGCTTGGCCAATATGATCAGAAATAACATCAAGAAGAGTGCAGTCTTAAGATGAAGGAGAGCGATATAGAACAAAGAGAAAGGTGATAGAGTGAAGTGGTGCTAAACGAAAGCACATAAAAGAGTAGTCTGTGGATTCAAACCTAGTTTCCCGACAAATGGGTGAATTCTTACGAATGTAAATGCCTAGGCCAAGCATGTGACTATTGGATTCTTTACGAACTAAAGGAAGATAACCATCAACACTAAGATCACAAGATGAAACAGCTGAACTCGAATTAATCTCACAAAGAGCAAGTAGGTCTGGTGAACTTTGCAAGAGATAAGATTTAACAGAAGAAAAGTTGCTTCGAAGACCACGAATATTATTGAATGATAGGTTTAGCGAACTTGGTGATGACTGTGGTTTTTTGAGTTTTGAAGTTTTTGTTACTTTATTCATTTTAAAATTTGTTAAAGAACTTGACTCGAAACATAGATACTACTCAGTACACTGTTTTATAGCCCAAGAAATTGCCTCATTTCCACTAATAAACCCTAAGCCATAACAAAGGGCTCCAATGCGGCCTTGGCAATGCACACCAAAAGTACAAACAGGGACACCATCCATGCGCAACATGGCACTGTTAGTTACTCTGATATTTTTCAGCTGTTGATGGAATCAGCCTCTCTGAGAGCTACCACAGAGTTCGGGAAACCTGACTACCAGCCGGCCTCAGAACCATAAAACTGAGTTTTAGAGCTGTACCCTCATTTGGAGATAATAGAATGTGTTGCCTAGTCATAACAACAGAGACACAAGCAAATCCCATGCATCGAGTCAAGAAGATCCAGCGTTTAACATCCTAAACTGGAAACATTGTATTAAAAATACATCTGCGCCAGCCTAATAGATGGAGAAGGGGTGCGAGGCTGGTCAACAGATAGAATCTGTTTACCCCCTAAGTTTTTGCCTAGGAGGGCTTCTACAAGACAGCAGCCG